CTGCTATGGTCAGTTGCAACGAGAGAGAGAGAGAGAGAGAGAGAGAGAGAGAGAGAGAGAGAGAGAGAGAGAGAGAGAGAGAGAGAGAGAGAGAGAGCAATCTAACTAACTATGTGCCACTCCACCCCCCACCCCACCCCCCACGATCAAGTGTAGTATCTTCTCCGATCAGTTTCAGATCTGATCCGTGGACCATGCACCCTTTTCCCTTCATTGTTTTGCGGGTGAAGCTGCAACAGGTAGCCTTGTGAAAAGTTGGGAACTCAGAAAAACTGAAAATCACAGCAAGATGCTAACAGACACAGCAAAACTCCGAGTGCACAGGATACTACAGTTGCTGAGTCAACTGGAAAATCACAGCACAATGCCTGCAGACACAGCAAAACTCAGAGTGCACAGCGTATTGTATTGTTCATTTCCCTCTGGTTTAAGGTCAACAACCAGGTAGTCACCAACAACAAGGACTGCTAAGGACTTTCAAATATATGGGTAGGTGTGGACAAGGGGACATACCCTCAGCTCCTTTGCATAGTCTGAGAAGTTCAGAGGTATGATAATATCATCAGCCAGCCGAAGTGCCATCAGGCCCATCAAGCGCGCCACTGCATGGAGTAGCACAATCAATGTAACACCGTAACAGTTCAATTTATCTGAAGAGTCCTCAGAAATTCCAAAACATTCTCTTGCGAAATTCCAAACATACCTATGTAGTATGTACTATGATGCAGTGAGGCCATCTGGAAAGGACGTTCACCAGAGTTGTTTGGACCAAACCGTCCTTGGCAACCTGTCCAGAGATCCGGACAGGCCAGAAAGGGCAACGGGAGAGACAAGGCTTTTTAGTCTGTGACTCTGTGACCAGTATGGTCACTTTGCACAGTCAAATGAAGTGCCGATCTGAGGGTATTTCCAAAAAGTCTTGCCTGGGCTTCAATGGAGGTCTGAAGTCGTATAAATGAGGTTACAGCTTACAACTTAAACCACAAGTACACGGCCCGAGCCTTGCAGTCCGCAACTTGTCATCACAAGAAAACGAGGCCGAAACGTCGAATGATGGGCCCACCGTTGATAAATTCGATCGGTGGTCACATTTTCGTTTCGCGCCTCCAGAATTTGCGGCGTCAGGTCGGTGGCCCAGGTGCCCATGTACTGGTGCTTTAAGAGGGTTTTACAACATGGATAGATTGGTGGTGAATGTTGTCCTCTGGGCCATCCGTCAAAATTGGAATGATACAGAGAAGATTAGCATGGCCCCACGCAAGGATGGCGCGCACGAATCGAGATGAATACAATAATGTTAGAGGTTAACCTCATTCGGGGGGGGGGGAATAAAGAACTGTATGCCTCCGTTCCAACAATAAACACACACACACACACACACACACACACACACACACACACACACACACACACACACACACACACACAGAGAGAGAGAGAGAGAGAGCTTATACACATCTAGATGTGTATAAGAGACAGGAATAGAGGAGGGGGGTGGGTCGGGGTGGTAGTCTGACAGAAGGGACTGTCAGGGGGAAGAAAGAGTGGACGTATGATGTTTGATAGGAGGGGAGGGGGGGGGGKGGAAGGGAAGGAAGTGTCGGGATAAATTGCGGGCAGGATAGGAACAGTGCTACGAGGAATCCGGGGGGGATCGGATGTAAGGTGGGGAGGGGCAGAAGTAATTGGTCGACCAAGGTTGGGGGTGGGCCAAGCGTGAAACAAGACTGATTGACGAGAACGGATCGAGCGGGATATTGTGTTCGCAAGATTGGGGGGGAGCTGGTTAGAGGGGGGCGAATAGAATGACTTTAGATCGTGATGTAGGAGTTGGTAGATTGTCAAAAGGGGTCAATGTCGGATCTCACTCGATAAGATCGCTCCTTGTCGTCTGCATCTGGACCTCTTTCTCGACCAGGTTCTGATGGCTCGAGGCTTCAAATCCGTCACCCTATCCTTCTTCGGTACTTGCACGTTTCCAACTATGGCAGGAAATACACTGGTTGTCCCCCTTGTGGAGCGCGAAAGGTTGCTCTCCCTCTCACACTCTCCTCCTTTCGTTTTCTCCTCGGTCGCTCGCTCGTTTCTCCTCCCGATCGCGTTCTCTCGGATTGCTTTTCCGGAATATGCTCTCTCCTCCTCTTTCCTTCTGTCTCCCTCTCTCTCTCTCTCTCTCTCTCTCTCTCTCTCTCTCTCTCTCTCTCTCTCT